GTTAAAAGTTCGAAGATTACATGATTAAAAATTCAAAGGCTAAAAAGTGCATATGATGTTTTCAAAATATATTTATAATATTGTCGACTGAAGTTTTGGCATTTTTCTTTATTAAATTTAAATTAAAGCAGATTTTAAATTCTCTGTGAGGATAAGCAAATTTTAATAGCTTTTACTGTATATAAATGACTGACATCTTTAATTTTTAAATAAATTTTTAACCCTTTACACTCCAATGTCGCTTCTGAGGCTTGATCAACAGCTACCACTCTAAAATTAAAAATGTTTATATGTTAATAATTAATAATCATGCATTAAGAATTTAAAAATTATGTAAAAAAAACTGTTATTATGAATTCTAAAAGAGCTACAATAGTTCAAAATGTATTGTAAACTACCCGGAATGCAAAGGGTTACACTACAATTACTTTGATCAATGTTTACGTTCAAGAAGTTTTTTTTAAATAAAACATGTTATAAAATTATTTATAAAGTATCAAAATGAAAAAAAAAAGTTGCATATTTTGACAACTTAAATCAGTACTTATATATTTTGAAGTTTTAATCAGAACTCCAGACTATGCTTTTAAATTTTATTGAAATTAGTTTGAAATCTGCTATATAATAGACGTGTAGTTTTAATGCAATTCATTTTTTGATTTCATATCAAGTCAGGGATGCCACTGGTAACTAAAATTGTAAGAAGTGGTGGAAACTCAATTCATCGATATATAGGCAGATCTCTAAAACCTTTAACTTTTGATAATAAAAAAAAATAATAATAAATAATAGGCACACTATTTTTACACCTCCAGAATTGTTTGAAAATGTATATAATATCAGAAAATAATCGTGAACATCGAAAATTTTGATGCCCTCATAAGTATATACGAAAAATTAAAATTTTTGATCTAATTTTTCTAGGTTTATATACATTTCTTTAAAAATCTTAAAAACGACAAAAGTATTATTTATTTAATAAACATATAAATCTATTGAATCTATTTTTCTTTTATTGAGCAATTTTTTCTTTTTAATAATTTCATCCATATTTACCCTTCATTTTTAATCAAAAATTATTAGTATCATAAATGAATTGAAACATTTTGATATTAAGTTAAATTGTTATAAAATGTATAAAAAGGCTTCCTTTAATTATTTTCAGTAAAAAAAATATACTCAATTAGTAAAACAGGGGGAAAAAACTAAGTTCTGATAGGTTAAATTCAATTAATTAATCCTGATGTTACGGTTTGACAGGGTTACGGTCTGAACAACCTAGAGAATAGATCGAAAACTTTACTCAGATGCAACGCAATGCGATGCACGCAACACCGAAAATAAATTAGGCAATGACAAACGTGTGATCAAAATTTTGATTGATTTTAACTTTTACTTTTTAGATCTTGACATTGTAACTGTAACCTCACCGATTAATTTTAATTTTTTGTTTGTACTTATAAGGGCATCAAAATTTTCGATGTTCACGATTATTTTCTGATATTTTATACATTTTCAAACAATTCTGGAGGCGTAAAAATAGTGTGCCTATTATTTTTTATTATTATCAAAAGTTAATGGTTTTAGAGATCTGCCCATATATTCAATTATGCAATTTTAACTACTTACATTTCCAATTATTTATATTTATAAAAAAAACTTTTTTACATATATTTTCATTTATTGTAGTAATACTGTTATGTTATTCATTCGATTTATTTCGTGTTTCTATATACTACCGCCTGGCATGTAGCTTTTTATTAATATATTTCTCTCTCTCTCAGCTTTTACTCTCATAATTCAACTATTTTGAACTAGGTGCTTGCCATTGTTTTTCCATACACTTTCATCCCCTCCATTTTATCTCTTACTAAATACACGTTAGTTTTTATAATTCATGACTCATAATTCCGTTGAATAAGATGATACCGCCTTCCGCGTCTGGTACTTATTTCCTGGATTCTTCGTAACTCATAACTATCACCCTATTTCAATCGGAAACTGAAAGGATTATGCTTGAAATATTTAATGATTTTAGTCACTTTATTATAGATTTTTGTTATCTATTTATCTCCACTTTTGATATTTTTAGTAGCATGTCTGAAAAATCCACACATTGGTCCACGACTGAGATTCTATATACATACCTGCCAACTTTTAATCCCTTCCATTATGGTGTTTCCCAGTGGTATTAAAATGGAATTAAAATTTCAATTTTAAGCAAAAAAATACGTCGTATTTGAAAAACCTTAAGCTGACGCATATTAATATATATGCTCAATTTTCTTAAGAATAGTGGTGATTAAAATCATGTAAAAATTAAGTTTATAAAAGAGAAAAATAGTATAGATTTTCTACCACTTTAAATATAAAAACAAAATTTTAAGCCAAATGCGTAAAAGTTGGCAGGTATGTATATATCATCATCATCATATCTGGCTAGACAGCCCAGGGTGGGCCAGTGCCTTCCTTTGAATTCGAATCCACTTCTCTCTACTTTTGACACTTGTTCGCCAGTTTTTCTCCTTTAGAGTAAGGAAATCAGTCTCAATTAAATCCAGCCATCTCAGCCTGGGTCTACCTCTTTTCCTGTTCGTTAGGGGTTTGTGTAATAGGATTTTCTTTAAAATTTGAGTCATCATTCCTTCTGAAAATGTGAGCTGCCCAGTTCATTCGATTTATTTTAATGAATTTCACAATATCTGGCTCTCTGTAGATTTTATATAGTTCAGTATTATATCGTCTTCTCCAGGAATTATTTATTTTTATCCCACCAAGGATGGCCCTCAAAACTTTTCTCTCAAAAATGGCAATTGGCTCAAAAATGGCTTGATGTATATATATCAAGATTGAAAAGAACAATAACTGGAAAAATAGACATTTAATTCTAACTTTCTTTCAAAAAAATAAATTATTTATAACTACCGAGAATATTTAAGAATTATAAAATATATATAATACTGCTTTGATTGCATGAACTAGAATTCAACATAAAATTATTAATATGCTTTACCGTCAACGCTTCCTATAACTGAAAGCTTCCACACTGTAGTCCGATCAGACCACTATTAAGGATATCCACTTCCCGAACGCGTCATTTAATACAAAATCTAGTTAAAATAAGAAAGTGGTAGCAAATATATGACTAAAAATTTGTTTTATTTATGAATATTATTAGTTTGCCTTATTCACTTGTCAACCACTACAGATTCAATTCTCAAATATATATGATAAATTTCTGTCCATTACTTTTATAAAAGGTTTTGGGTTCTTGCGCACAACTGGTTCACTTTTTAAATTGTCTGCGCGGACTACTTATAAAAGACCGTGTGGAGGCTTTTCGATGTAGGAGGCGATGACACAGTGCAGATGACTCGGTTGATGCAATGCCTCCTAGAAAAGAGAAGACCTCATCACAGGATACCATAAACAGGAAATTTGATCCTTTAGTAGTCCAAACGCAATGACATGTTATCGTATTAACCACCATTGCGCAGCTTAGTAGCCCACCAGGATGCAGTGACATCTTTCTTATTTTTCATTCACTGCGCAGTTTATGTACGTTACGTCGGACAATTAAAGTGATCCGTGCTGGGGCCTTCTTTCTTCTAGGAGGTGTTGATTGGTGGTGCTTCATGGCAAATACCGTACTAACAAAAATATCCACGATCCAGTGTGAAGTAGTAAATAATGATTAATGTTTTAAAAAGAAAATTTCTCTCGACAATCAATTATAAATTAAATGGGTTGACTTCCAAATTATTCCTTTATCAGTTTTAATTCCAGGTCTGTGTTCAACAATCGAAGGCTACATTTGCCTCAAATTTTATGCTCTAAGATCAAAGAGTTGCATTCCTTATTTTTATGACCACTGTGAGTTGAACAACGATTGTCAAGTGTTGAAATAGATTACATAATTAAAGAGAATTTAGTACACTCTATTGGTGATCATCTTAAAAAATTTAAAGCTCTTAAATCAGTCCATAATATGTTGGAATTTGTTTATAACATGTTAATATATCCTGTAGACTACATACATTTTTGCATTGTCATGGGGAGAGTGTTTCGAGATGACTGTCTTTAATATACAGTAGACCTTCCAAACACTTTAATCAGCTCTTCAGCTTGCCCCGAAAATCATTATTCATAAGAAGCTTACAAGCATCAATATTAAGTTCTTATGAATTTTGTCTTGCCCAGTATTCATCATTAAAGAAATGCATACTAAAATTCAACAAATGCATACATTTGTGTTGAAAAGTAATTTCTTCAGACAATTTTTAAAGCATAGCTTCCAACTTGTCGCTTAACTCTCCTCTCATCAATCGATTATTGTTTCTATGAAATTCTTAGTAACCATTATTAAGCTCTATAGATACCATTTCATGCTCATCGTAAGAATGTGTTTCAAAATTCATCAAATTATCTGTAAGATGAAAATTAATGCAGTTATGGAAGTTCAGCTAGGTGGAATCCACCCTCCAATTTATCAAATGTATCTGTAAGGTGAAAATTATAGCAGTTATAGAAGTTCAGCTTGGTGGAATCCACCCTCCAATTCATCAAATGTAAGGTGAAAATTATAGAAGTTCAGCTTGGTGGAATCCACCCTCCAATTCATCAAATGTAAGGTGAAAATTATAGAAGTTCAGCTTGGTGGAATCCACCCTCCAAACACTTTATTTAACTCCTCTGCACAGGCCAAAGACAATGGATCATTATTCATTTTGGCAACAATCTGCATTCCCTGAGGCATACCGTTCGGGTGCAGACCAAGGGGACATTGAGTAGCGGGCAGTCCAAGAAAGTTAAAGATGCCCGTAAAGCAAGTACTAAATATATGCGGTATCATTTCATAGTAATAAGGGGCTGTGAAGGGAAATGTGGGGTAAAAAAAAACACCGAATTTTCATCTAATAAATTCTCGAACTTCTGATTTATCTTCTCCAGAAGAGCATGAGAGAGTGGAACGTTTTCATCAGAGTAAAATATAGGGTATTTTCCAAATCCAAGTTCTATAATATTCCAAAGAGGCTGGAGGACCCTGTAGTAAATTTTAAGAGCTCCAGGACTCCATTTAAGTGTTTAAGTTTTCCAGCTGTCATCATCTCTACCAGGTTCGGAATGTCACCGAGCAAAAGATGAAAATTGATTATATTTGACATACTCAAAAGCTTTATGTTGACTTCTTCTGCTACTACACCATACGTTTCGGTAAAGTAGTTGATAGCCTGAAAAAAGTAAAAAAAGAATTTAGGGTGATAAAAATTTACTTGCATTAAATAATATAATCAAAATCAGTTTGTATCCAGCTAAAATGTTTAATGTCGTCATTAGTCCAAGAATTATAAAATACTTTTTTAACAATTTACACTTTGATAAAATATTTAGCAGTTTTTCACTTGTTAAAGCTGCATTCATGTCACATTTATTTATTTTTTTTATCGGCGATGTTGAAAACCTGTTCAATATTGAATTTTCGGCAACAATATTCAACTCAGTAGCCTCTTAAACGTAAGTACAATCAAAAAGACACGATAGCTCCTGAATAAATCAGTGGTACAAGCTCATCTTCGTTCATGACATTTTGACGAAAACTACCCGCATTTGCGTTAAGAAGAAAGTTTCGAAAATCTCCCACGGTTAAACCTGGGATAAAGGGACTCTAACCCCTCATCCGTCTACTTGCTTTTCGTTAGAACAATGGGTGGTACGTAACAGCATAAAAATTGACCAGCCGTCGATGGGATTCAAATCTGGGTAACCTTATTGGGGTTGAGAGCGTTTTCTGAGCCATTCCATAAGCTTTTTACTTCTGCTCTATATATTCGTAATCAAGTCAAAGTCAAGCATCCAAATATAGCAGATGGGGCTTCGAACCTTAAGACATTTTCAACGTTTTGCAGTAATTATCATTTCTTTCAGAATTTGACTCAAGAATTTATTAGTTTTTCTTCCACTGTTTATGATTTTTTTCATGCATAATAAGTATTTTGTGATAATTAGAGTAGTTAACACAGAATGTAAAATTGAAGATGTCAATATTAAAAGGGGGTATGCTAGAAATCTGCAAGAAAAACCAAAAAACCTGTGTCGATTGTATTTGTTTTAATTGCTTCCAAATTGTTAGATTCTCTTCTGTAGGCAGTCAAGAGAAATACTCGATATTTCAATGATATTCCGAAACCAACAAAAATCTTAATTTCTTAAAAATGTTACATACCCTCTATTAGCATTGACTGTTACAATTATTAGTTTAATTACCTTTTTCATAGCATTAACAATTTCTTTATCAACGGGCTGAACAACAGGATCTTTGAGGTTAAATTGGTAATAAATCTTTAATTTCTTGAAATTAACCTAAAAAAGGAAATATAGTTTTAAAAAAATTTTTATTAATGTATGATACAAGAAAAGACGTCGACCAATGAACATTTTATCTGTATTTGAAGTTAAATTTAAAGTTGTTAAAATATTTTTAAACTTTAGAATAAATAATTACATGCACTTAAGAATAAGTAATTACTTGCTGTAATTACATGCATCAATGCAGTAAGCCTTAATAAAAACATTATTTAAAGCATAACTGAGTTTATTAAACTATGGCACAAGTACTGAAATATACCAGAACTATCAGCTAATATTTATAAGACAGTTTCCTTTTCCAAAAACATACATTGTGGTAAGACAATTATTTCAATTTTTTCATTTGTCTAGAAGAATTGAAAGATTGCCTTCCACAATAATTTATTAATGATTTAAGTTTCTATGACTAGATCTAGAACTGTAAGGAGCAGGGACATTTTGACATAAAATGGTATCAAACAGTTGAAGTTAGCCATTTAGTTGAATAGCATATTATACCACTTTCTTCATGAAGCAACTTTTTTTATACCAGTTCAATATAAAAAGTCGGGATAAAACGTGGTAAGCCTATAGGGCAAGTATTTATTCGTGTGTTCCTGTTTTCAAAATGTAGGAGAATCAGCAATAATCATAAAGATTTTCATGTTAAGTTCTTGTCAATTTTATTGTGGGTTTTGGTTGCACATCAGAAGGCTGATGGTGAGTCTGTAACTTTATGAATGCTGGTGCTATACCACCTTCGCAACATTCTAGTTATTCCAAAAGTATCGCTTGCAGTCAATTGGGAGACTAAGGTTAAAACTTGCAATTTAGTTTAATAGTATATATTATACCACTTTTTTCATTAATTTTTTTCATCATTCACTTTTCATGTAAAAATTAAATCTTCCTACAAAATTGGTCAAGTTTGTTCTGTTACTTAATTGATATCAAAACAAAGGACCGTACAACTAAACAGATGGAGAAAGGGCCCCTTTGTGGTCTCTGACTTCCAGCTCAAATTGCATGACTATGCTACTATGATACTGTAACCAATAAAGATTAAAACAATCGGTTACATAATGCAATTTAGGTAGTAGGTCATTCAAAATACTTAACAAAAATAATCGGGGACTGTTATAAATCATTTGAATTTAATTTTTGCTGAAGTTCTTCAATACCTCAGAAAACTATTTTCAAAAATTTTCACCAAGAAGTTCGAAAGAAATTTTTTTTCATTTTGTTAAAAATTCGCTTATGTTGTTGTTGTCGTTGTAGTTAATTTACGTCACACTAGAGCTGCACGATGGGCTATTGGCGACAGTGTGGGAAGCACCCCTGAGGATGATCCGAAGATATGCCATCACAATTTTGATCCTCTGCAGAGGGGATGGCACCCCCGCTTCGGTAGCCCGACGACCTACACGCGAAGTCGAGCACTTTACGGTAGAACAGTTTAACGGGGACCAATACCGCACACCCTCAGTCCCTACTTAGACTGATCCAAGTGGTCACCCACCCGCACACTGACCGTAGCCAGTGATGCTTGACTTCGGTGATCTGCTGGGAACCGTGTCTTAACGATCAGTCCACTGCGGGACAATAATCCGCTTATGACTGCCAGGATATCCTGGTTGGTAGGGCGTTGGGCCCAGCTCCGAGAGATCATGGGCCGACGAACGAAGAATTCCCGTCTAGTAAATGGTGACCACCGAAGAAGTTTAACGGATACAATTTTTATAATGAATTGCTTCTTCGTCAAGAAAATATTAATTGCAGTGAATTGTTTATTGTTGAGAACAGATTAACTCCACCCGAATATTATCTATTATTGAAATTGTTCTCCTACCAGTATTTTCTCTTTTCCGTCTCGCTTTCAGGCCTAATACGAGCATGCAAGAGACAAAAATTTATTCCTCTCTAACTTGAGCGATATGAGTTCCTTTGGCTTTATTAATTGTGCTTAATCTTTTACTGAACGGTTTTAAATCTCTGAATATTTAAAATTCTATTAATTTTAAAAATGGTATATTAAAATACTTGAAATAATAATGAATTGTGTTGATCCCGAATGTCTTTTTTTCACAAAGATAAAATTCAAGAATAAAATAAATGAGTTAAGAGTCTTTATCTTTTTCGAAATAATTCATGGGAATTGTTTGTTCTTAATGAGTTAAGATCAAAATCTATTTTTATTTTGTTTTACGATTGTATTATATGAAAGATTATGAGAAATATTTTATACCGGTTGACCAAATTTTATCTTTTGTGCATTTCTTGATGTGAGAACATTCATCATTGTTATCAGATCTTCTGCATATCTACACATCGGTCCGGTGCTAAGGTATTGAAATGTTTTCAGATTCGGTGCCGGAAAACATCCAGTATTTGGAACTAAATCTAAGAAACAGCAAATATTATTCTGAGAAAGAAACATTGATTAATTCTACGTAATTAAAATTATTGGTTGCACTGAGGAACAAATATTTTTGTTTGCATTTTTACGAGTATTTGATATTACCTAATACCAAATACTTTAGTATTTAATATTAGGTAATATCAAATACTGTATGTGGGGATTTCAGATCAGAAATTAACTCTATTCAGAAAGTTACAGATTTTTTTCAAAACGGTGTTTATTTTTTGTCAGAATGTACAAGTTTGTTAAGAAAGTGTATGCTTGTATATGCACATGTAAACTTGTTTGGTTCTTTTAAAATAACACTTTGAAAAAAGGCATCACCTTAACTGTCAGCATTGTAAACTCAAATGTATTATCGCCTTCTTTCAACCATTCCCTACGTAGCAGAGTAGTAGGCACTTAGTATTCACTAGAGTGAATTTTAAAAAAACCCTGGTTAATAATTTATTATTGAGTTGCATAAAAACTGTGGCTTATGCAGAGAGAAACCAATTGCAGATTCGAAATCAATGACACGAAACTATTTCATATCCGATCAAAAATATTATGCTAGAAAAACAAAATAAAAAAATTGTTCCCCAGTGTCATTATTACTACATTTTTCCTAGATTGCTTCCGTTTTTTTTTTTTTTCTATTTATACAATTCTATTTATTCAATTTTCGAATATCATTTTTTTCTATTTATTCAAATAGTTCTATTTCTAATTAACTTGGTAATTGTCCTAGCTTCATTTCCAAATATTAAACTGGTCATCGAGTTAATTTCTGTGTTTTAAAATTGTGCTACTCAGTTTTATGATTTTACCACAGATAAAGTTAATTCCGTATTCTTCGGATAAAAATTATATTCCGTATTCTAAGGATAAAAATTATATATTAAACGGATAAAAATTATTTGGATCACAAAACCTGCGCACTTTGTCTTTCTAAAATTACTATTGCAGGTACCATTTTTTTTACTATACTATTAATAAGCTATTAAGAATAAATTTCAGAAATTAGCAGGAGAAATTTTTACAAACTCGTGAGAGTTTTTAATATCGCAAAAAAGTTAAAAAATATTTTTTTCATAAGTATTTTTTATTTTAAAGACATTGAAATTAATGAAAAATTTTATTAAATATTTTAGTTTGGATCACAATGTATGTTAGAAGAATACCTCGAGAAGGCTTGTGAGAAAAAACACCAGTGAAAAGTGTCGGAACTCTAACACTTCCTGTAACATCATTGCCCAATCCAATAACAGTACCTGCAGCTCCCAATAAAGCACTTTCACCACCTGTAATACATAAAGAATAAAAAGAAATTCATAAAATTGTGAAACAAATATATCTCCAATTAAAGAAGAAAAGCTGGTTTTCAAGAGGAGTAAAATATGTTTTTCCTATTCTTAGTAATAAAATATACAATACAATTCATTTAACACGGTCACGCTAAATTGTCTCATCTTGGCAGAGCACCGGAGTAAAAACTGGTAACAATAAATTTCATTTTTTAGATTTTGTCCGGGAATAATAAAAATCCATAACTACCAATTGTTTTTAACGGATGCAACATTTATAATGAATTACTTCTTCGCCGTGATAAATTTCCTTACAGTGAATTGTTATTGTTGAGAATAGATTAACTCCTCCCGAATATTATCTAATATTGAAATAGTTCTTCTACCAGTATTTTACCCGTACCAGTATTTTCCCGTGCCAATATTTTCACTTTTCCCGGCGTGAGCGTGTTAATCAATGGTGAGAAACACTTTGTATACATGTTCAAAGGTGCCAACTTGCTCCGGACAGCAAATATATATTTTAAAGTGGTAGTTTATAAATTGTAATTCTTGGTTTAATAAATTCAATTTAGTAGATTTTTATCCACCACTATTTCTAAATAATTCGTAGGCTTATATAATTCACCACTTTATTACAGTTATTTCATGTAAGCACAAGCAGCCTGTCACTGATTACAAATCCTTCTTCAGAACCCCAAAATGGAACTCAGACTTAAACGTTTACTCTTCATCTCGATGATCCGTCCCATCCTAACTTATGCTTCTCCAGCTTGGTGCAAAATCTCCACATCACTCCATAAAAAACTCAAAATATGCCAGAATAAAATCCTTAGGAAAATAACAAAAGCAAGATGGTTTATCCGCAATAAAAACATACATCGCGACCTCAGCATAGATTTTTCAGATCACCATATTGCAAAGTTAAATTTCAGATTTTTCGAAAAGACCATAAATTGTGACACCGAAGGATTCAACGAAATTTTTACTTTTGAAAACTTAAGAGAAGACATACACCTCAAACCGATGGCAGCTCATTTTTGTAGTGACGTAATTTTAACTAAAATACAAAATATTTAATTTCCTTTTATTCCAATTACCAGAAAGAACCACCTAGACCACAATACAAGACGAATGGGAAAAAGGCCGCTAACAGCCCAGGCGCCCAGATATATTTCGATGATGATGACAGTTATATCACGTTAAATCTTTTAAAATATTTGCAAAATAAATACAAATGTTTGCAAATTTTAGTTTGTAGTTATTTACCTTTTTTTAAATTATTTTGGCGTGTCCGGAGCAGTTGGTATCTCTGCATGTTATAACCATACCCTCCAACTTATGAGGATTTTGAAAATAATTCTTTCTAGTGGTAGCGAACCAAAGTAGAAATTTTTTAAGCAAACGGATCTCTCATAAAACTTTTATCAGAACTTAAGAATCTAGCCATATGGCCTGCACTTTTATAAGTAATAGTGGACAAGTTACGCTAAAATTAAATTTTTTTAAATATTAAGACATTAATTTTGCTACCGTCAGAAAAGAAGATTTCTGAAACTACGGAAATTCCGTAGCAGTTGGAGGGTATGGATAACTGTTAAAAATATATTTGGATATTGAAACTTTCCCGAAAACAAACTAAAGCAAAATAATTGACTTTCCAGTTTTTATTCTTTTCTTTTTTGATACATATAAGGCTTCAGCCCTACTTAGAATATGCCTGTTAAAATTCCAGATGAATGGGATAGGGGTCGCTTCGCGGCCCAGGTGCCCAATAAAATCAAAACACTAGGACTAGAAGATGCCTCCGAAATATCCTATTTAGATTTAAATAATGGCTACATGGGAATTCATTAGCCTGGTTGAAATCCCACGTCAATTTTTTTTTATAACCGCCGTTTGACAGCTGACCCAATTTCTGAGTTTACGACTACTAATGATCAACTCCGTAGACTTGTTACTTTGAACCGAATTTGGAAGACAAGAAAACCCTTGAATCAAGTATTTGAAGAAATTTACTTTCGTGGAGAACTTTTTTGATGGAACTAACCCGCATTTGCATATATGGAGAGGAAATTCGCGAAAACCTCCCACAGTTAGGCTGACAGCAAGGAAACCCTAACTCATAACCCATGATACCGCTGGGGACATTTTGAGTCCAAACTGTGGCGGTGCGAGACTGAAACAGAATTCGTATCGACCAGCTATCGAACTCGGATCACCTCACTGGGAGGTCACAACGCTAGATCCCCTGAGCTACCACGACACATCCGACTACAGTGGGAGTTTTATTAGCAGTAGGGTGACACTTTGAAATGCAGCGAAAAGTGCTGCCATGAGCTAAAATGGCGCAACAAGAATTTTAAGAATATTAAGAATTTTTAAAACGCAATTTTAACATTAAAAGGTCTGGTAGGACTCAAATTCACGATAAATATATTTTGAGATAGTATGGTGGTCACAAGGGTATGCACTGATTAAGATTTATTTCTTTTTTTTGGCTAAGATTCGTAAATTTGCAGGAGCCCTGATTACAGGTTCACAACAAAAGTTATTTTAGAACAGATCAAAGCACAAACCACTGCTTCCTCCGGGTGTTCTGTGAGTGTCATAAGGATTGCATGTTTTTCCATACAAAGGATTAATGGTGTCAAATCCAAGTCCTAACTCAGCTGAATTTGTTGTTGCCAGCACTATTGCCCCAGCATTTTTCATCAGAGTAATAGTTGGTGCATCATCTGCAGCAATCACATCTTTGAAAAGCGTGGACCCAGCTGAACTGTGAAGTCCTAGTACGACAAAAAGATTTTTCAAAGAAAGATATATAAGTTACGTAATGTGATTGACTAAACATTATAAGATATTTTGTGATCTTTATTAATTAATATGAGGTGGGTCTATCTAAAGAAAACATATTTTAAGGATTGTTTTCAGTGCTGCTTGTATATAGATGCTACAACATTCTGTTACCCTGAATTTACTTCGAAAATCAGGTTAAGAGGATGTTCAACCAAGGAAGAAAACCCTCACGGGGAATTCTCTTTCACTTCTGCGAGCAATTTCAAAACTTAAGTTTCGAAAAAATGAGTTCAAACATACCTAGAATAACCGATGAAGTTTCAAACTCAAAAAAAAAAAACATAAACAAACAAATTATGAAAGGATTACTTAGGTTTACGTTGTGGGGAAGTTCTCCAATAACTTGCTTGCATATAGATATTTTGTATATATTTTTGAAATATTCGAAACTTCAGGGATTGTTATATCTGACTTCACTTTTCTCCAAACTTTAAATTTTAATATACCAGTTAAAATGAAACAGAATTTGCGATAAAAGGTTTCTCTCGTGGTATTGCGTCCTCTTAAAAGAATTATAGCAAAAATAAAATTGAGTTAAATGCGAGACTTAAAAACTAGACAAATGGGTAGTGCAATTTTATCTCTTGAATAATGCAATACTTACAATGCGAGACAAATTTCTTTATTTCCGAATATAATCGGGGTGAAAACATCTTGCTTGTTTTCGTATGCCTGTTTAGGCAGAGGGGTGCGATTGTTCTTGTTTTCCAGTGGCGCCATCTATGGCCAAGAATTCGACTTCTGCCAACCCATACGTCACACCCGTTTGTTGGGCGGACTCATTCATACATTCACAGATCGTAATTTTGACCTGAATCAGAGAACTATCAATCTCCAATTCAGTACCCCCAGAGGCATTGATTTGTTGTGGGAACATGGAGGACTTTGAGACTCGACAGATTTAACGTGCATCAGTCACCATTTACTACACGGACAGTCTTCGGCGGAGTGGGTTCGAACTCATGAACTCTCGAACATGGACCCATCGCCCTACCGACCAGGCTATCCCGGCCTGAAAAAATCTTATATACCATATATGGTATTCTCCAATCCCTCTCAGGAATTTTCTTAATTAAGAAAACATATGTATCGTAGCACTAAGGTGTCCCTTTTATTATTTTAACTTTTTTCTTCAGGTTAAGTTTATAACACCGTTTGATCAGCCTACCTTGAGTGCGCAAAGCAGTTAGCTTTTGCACAGTATCCCAGCTTTTGTTATGCTAAAATCTTCACTCAATCCATATAATCTATAACTCAAAGCAACTCAAAATGAAGCTATTTTTTTCCTAGTTACTTAAATTTTCTAATCCAACATCAATTCTTTAAATTCAGTAATATGAAGCTTTTAGAGTATCGTATAATAAAAACGTAGCTATTTTAACCGCTAATTTTATACATGCGCTGAAACAACATCATACAAGTGACAATTTTCAAGTTGACATTTCATTTTCACGCAATTTTTATATCTTAGTCTGGGGAAAAAGAATATTGATAACCACTACATAAAAATAATTTTAAACGCATTTATATACAATGAAACTTAGTTGTTGTTGTTGTAAATTTACGTCGCACTAGAGCTGCACAATGGACTATTGGCGACGGTCTGGGAAACATCCCGGAGGATGATTCGAAGACATGCCATCACAATTTTGATCCTCTGCAGAGGGGAATGAAACTTAGTGTTGGTTGCCTAAATTAGCAATGTCGTCAAAGCTTGTTAAGGCATTGACGAAATTGAACTATAATCTGAGCTCTTTAGTTTTCCTTCTCTACTACTGAATGAAATCTTTTGCTGAAAGTGGAACAGTTGACATTTCTGACATCGCCTTACTTTCTATGGAGAACTCAAAAATACACTCGAGAATAAATTTAGAATTTGCTCTGGATTATTTTAATCAAACAATGCAGATTTTATAGTTTTCAGAAACTAAAAATATTGCTATAAAATTACCTTTAACCGTTAAAAGAATTTTCGTAGTAAAAGGAACACCAAGTAATGGTTTTTCTTCTTCCAGCTGTCTCCTTGTATATGTCCCCGATTCAATTAGTTCATCAACTATTTTAGCCTCTTTAATAGCTTCTTGAAATCGATTCTCCGCTACTGCATTGATATATGGTTCAACTTCAATGATTCTTTCAATATAAGCTAGGACTACCTCTTCACTTTTCAACTAAATGAAACAAAAAAGCTTAGAAAACGGAGATCAAATATACACTCTATAACAAATAATCTCACCAAGAAAGAGTTGTCCGATTGAAACGAAAATTGATGGATAGGAAGACAATGTACAGAATATTAAATGATTAAAATTTCAGAACAATTGAATAATTTATTGCAGAGTTACAGTAGCATGTTCAATAAGGTGTCGACCCACCTCTAGCCTGGATACAAGCTGCCACACGGCGTGGCATAGACCGATAAAACTCCCGGATGGTCTCTTGCGGTATTTCCTGCCAAATTCGATCCAATTGTCGAACGAGGTCATCAACATTCCGTGCCAGATGCAATCGCCTTTCCATCATATCCCAGACATGCTCGATGGGAGAGAGATCTGGCAGTCCAAGGAAGAGTTTGACAAGCTTGCAGGCAGTTCATAGCAACAAGTGCCGTATGTGATCTGGCATTGTCCTGCTGAAAAACCAGCCCAGGGCGCTGCAAAACAAACGGTTGTAAAACAGGTCTTAGGATGTCGTCGACGTACCGCTGTACAGTAAGTGTACCTCTAATGACGACCAAAGGGGTCCGGCTGTCAAAGGAAATGGCACCCCAGACCATAATGCCTTGTTGAGGGCCGGTGTGGCGTGCAATAGTGAAGGCAAGATCCCCCCTGTGCCCTGTGCGTCTCCAAATACGTCTTCGATGATCGTCACGACACAGTTGGAAACGGGATTCGTCGCTAAAGACTATACGACCCCAGTCGGCATCATTCCAGCCTGGTCGAGCCAAAACATTCATGCATAAGAAATTTCAAAGCAATTGGATGATTGCTTCTTGGTGCGTCGATTTTTTTGTTATAGAGTGTAATAATAATAACTCAGATAATAAATGCATAGCTGCCAACTTATACGTTTGATGTGAAATATTTCACAAATTGGTAGTGATATAAAAATCAAAGAAGGTAGAATTCTCGAAAAATAAAGCTACTTCTCCCAAACACAGATACCAAACTACATATAAAACACAACCTTGTTAAACTTATCTCGAAGCACTGTGGACCAGAAGACCATGATCTTTGGCCAAAAGTCAAAAATTAAATTTTCAACTAAAATATGCGTAGGCAGTTTTAATATAGCCCAAATTAAGTATTTATAATCATTCCAAACTTTATAACTTACTTTTTGGACCGATAAGAGTACAATGTAATGAAAAATATGTTAATTTTTTTCTTAAATTATAACTTTTAAATTTTTATTTCAGAAATATATACAGGAATTTCACTTTACTGTTTCATTTTTATCAGAGTAATTAGTCTGAAATTATAGTACAATTTTTCAATTTGTTGGATTAGTTAATACTCTTGACAAACTTATAGCTTATATCTTATCATTTGACATTTTACAATGTTTGAATTACTTTCAAAACTTAGTTCCAAAAAGTTCCACGAGGTAATTAGCTAAACTTTTTTTTGTTGTCTTCTTTGATGTTTCTTCTTTCGAAAAAACATGCCCCATTTTGGCCGTATTGCAAAGGTGAACTAAATATACCGAAAAAAAAAATTATGTTTTTTTCCATGTTTTCGCGTTACCTTTGTAATTAATTCGCATTACCTTTGTAATTAATTCGCATTATTTTGTAATAATACTTCTGAAATATAATTTGCTTATCGTTTTTAAAATAAAATTACGAAAATTATTATATTTTTATTGCTATATTTAATTATTTAAACGTACTATATTATTTTTTTTAATGGCGGCTGAAAATGCTCGCCATATTTCAGCCGCCATTTTGCTTTTTTGGGTATTTTTAATGTATTTCAAAATTTCAACTATGAATTCAATTTACCTGCACATAAAAACCCCTTAATAAAACCCCCAAAACTTTTAAGCAAATTTTATCGAAATACTGATTTTGGATACGAAACTTTGGATGCTGGCCCACTGTATGAGGTTGAGATTATGTGAATTAATTTTCGAATTGCTTAATCTTCTTCTTAGTGTTAGCTGCTTCTTCATCTAAAATACTTAGAAATTGGAAACTAATTTCGTTAGAAAACGCAAAACTAAATTTAGTCAATACGTAGTAAAATGATAGTATAATTGAAATATAAAATGACAATTTAAAAAAAGGGATTTTGAGTAGGGAAATAAACTATACCTGCTATTTACAGAACTATTGAGTCATATTTATACCTGAATTACTACACTCTCTTGCCTCTCCTCTCCTGGGCTTCATTGGTGTAGGTGTTGCAGATTTTCGAAGTTGAAATGATTTCGATTTTACTGCATCAATCAGGATTATTTTATTTTCTGAAGTCAAAGGTCACAAGTTCTTTTCGAAAAAGTAGCTTTGTACTATTAGTCTTTTGCCATACCACCCTCTCCTCAGCATATGAGATGTAAAGCGATGAAGTTTACAGGACATAACTAAATATATGTATACTTACCACACAATATACTTGAGGACATTAAATTAAGAGGTTAATATAAAATTAAAGGTATTAAGAGGTATGATATAAAATTAAATGCTAATGTAAACATAAAAACGCACAATTGTTTATCTATTTAAAATAGTTCTATCATTCATGTGGTAAATTTGTTTCTAGACAATAATTGCATCAGTGGGAATAGTTTTATTGACGCTAAGTTTTATTCATCGATTCGATTTTCATGAAGCCAACACAAGTATCATTTCCGCACCAAGAAAGTTATATTGACTAAAATTAATATCTTCTGCAAAAAATCCTGTAGATTTGATAGCATTTTGAAGCGAATGTAGGTAACCCCAAAGAACGACCAACCTCTCTTGTTGTTGACATATGTCTGTTTAGGCAGAGGGGGTGCGATTGTTCTTGTTTCCCAGTGGCGCCATCTATGGCCAAGAATTTAACTTCCACCACACCATACGTCGCACCCGTTTATAGGGCGGATCCATTCATTCAAATACAGATCGTAATTTTGACCTGAATCAGAGAACGATCGATCTCCAATCCAGTACCCCCAGAGGTATTGATTTGTTATGGGAACATGGAGGACTTTTGCGACTCGACAGATTTAACGCGCATCAGTCACTTTACTGCACGGGGAGTCTTCGGCCGGCGGGGTTCGAACCCACGAACTCTCGGATATGGGTCCAGTGCCCTACCGACCAGGCTATCCCGGCACCAACCTCTATTAACGACCATTTTATAGTGGAACAGAGAGTGGTCGCTCCTAAGAGGTTACACTGTATATTAATTGAATAAGAATATTTCACAGAGAAAGTACCCTACTCCTGAAGTGGTGATATTGCCCGAAAAAATTTATTATCAAGATTCTAACTTACTTTTCCTAATCGAATTTCCTCAGCAAGCTTCGTTGCAGATTTTAGCAATATATTATTTTTCACTGGAGGAACAGTTTTCCCATCACCCCAATAAATTATCGATAGTGGTATATGGAACATCCAATAGAACATTTTGACGAAAACTCTCCATCCCCAGTATGCAAAGAATGGTAGAGGCTTTAATTCCCTAAAATCCAAAAATATTGTATATATTTACACATTGCATGCTGTTAAGTTGTGCAATAATTTTCAAAAGATAGGTAATTTTGCTGTTATTTACAGGGTGTCCTATAAATAATGCGTTGAATTTCTAGAAGAAGTAGGGTACATCATAAGGATTAAGAATTACCTAGGAAAAATGATTAGAAATGTCATCTTACGCTGATAGGGGTGCTTTCCTATTATGGACATGTTGATCATGTGCCTTTGAACTTGCACATTTATTTCTCTAAAATATTTTAACTTCATGTTAATTTTATGTTCTATTATTTTATTTTATAACCGTCGTTGAACAACCGACCTAATTTTGAGTTTTCTACCTATGTTCAACTCCGGAACCTTGTAATTGTGAACCCAATCTAGAAGACAAGCGAACTCCTGGATCAAGTATTGGGAGAAATTTGCCTTCACGGAGGGCTTTCTGATGCAACTAAATCAAATTTTCGTTCCATGGAGAGGAAAACCACGAAAACCTTCCACAGCTACCCTGACAGAAAAGAGACTCTAACCCATACTCTGTCTTCCACTGAGAACATTTAACGTCAGCACCGTGGTCGTTGCAAGCCGGGTGCGGAATTCTAATCAACCAGCTATGGCAGGGATCGAACCCGGGTCACCTCATTTGGAGAAGAGCGCTCTATTCCCTGAGCCACCACATTATTGCCAAGAGTTCCCTCAGAAATGCTGTTTTATCGTAATTTAATGATTAGGTGTTTAGCTAGTCACCAAATCATTAAATTACAGTAAAACAGCTAATACTGAATCAATTTGAGAGCAGTTTTTGTCAATAATTAATAGAAATTAAAAAATTTAAATAATTTATACAAATAAAACTACCTGTTATTTAAAGGCACACGATGCAATAGTTAGTAGGAAAGCGCTCTTAGCAACATACGATTACATTTCCTGTCATGGTTTCAAAGGTATTTCTTAACACGTTCACGCCGAGGTGACCCACCGGTGGGTCACGCTACATTGTCTCATCTTGGCAGCGCACCGGAGTAAAAACTGGTAACAATAAATTTCATTTTTNCCATTCTACAGTTTCACCCAATCAGTGTGTATATATATATATATATATATATATATATATATTAATTTAGCCAAGTCACTGCAAATCAAATAGCTGGTAGTAAAAATCAAATTGTAAATAGTGGCATATCGTATTACACTAGTTATTTGAGAAAAATCTTGTGTTAAAATGGGAGAAGTTGGCATTAATTAATTTTTTAACATTAATTATGATAAGGATTATTAATATTATTTACTCATGTCATATTTTTTTTTTTACTAATATTAGTTCTAGTTTGATTTTATTTCCTTTTTTAGAAGTAGCAATAGATTAAATAACTACTTTTAAAATGCGTCTGCACTAATATTGTAACATTAGGCTAGTGAGGTCAAAAACAACTTAAAAAATATTGTTGGAAAAGTATACATCCGAGTTTCCAAAATAAGGAAAATCGTTCAAAATTGAATTGAAAGAGGCTAGTAATTCAGAAAACAACAGTTAGGTAGCTATTTCTGGGAAATTACTAAAACTGGCCCCCGAAAGCCCACGTTTTCACTTTCCTCGAACAGCCGTGCTTTTTTTTTAATATTCTCGTTTTCTTTTTTTTTTCTTTCGAAATGTTTAATTACGCATTTCAATAAGATTGTAATAGCACTCGGCATCCCTCAAAATTCATTGTTTTTAATTTTTTCTTTTATTTCAGGTTGCCTCATGCGTACTTAGGAAACGGATTTTTATCTCCGGCTTACACCCTTAAGCCATTAATTACTTTTGAGTTGCAGCAAAAAGCTATGATTTAAGGTTTAAGATTACACTGTAGTTGCATTTAAAGTTTTTTTTAAATAATTAATGAAATGTCATTGTACCGAAATGCAAAACAATTTGCTAAGAGAAATTGCGAAGCGACGAAATAGCAATGGTGAAAAGTCTGATCGTCTAATTCTATATTAACAATAAGAATCAGTATGGCGAACAGCTGGTCTGTTGTTGTTTCTAGTTCCACTTGCCAATACTAGCAAGCCTGCATGGTGACACCAAGCGAGTTAAGGGCAGAGGGTGCGTTTCTTGTTTTTCAGTAACGCCATCTATGACTAAGATTTACGATTTCACCCACGCACACATCACAACCCGTTTGTAAGGCGGACCCATTCATACATTAACAAATCGTAATTTTGACCTGAACCAGAGAAAAATCAATCTCCAGTTCAGTACCCCCAGAGGTAAGATTTGTTAAGGAAACATGGAGGACTTTGTGATCCGACGGATATAACGTGCACCAGTCACCATTATCTACACGGGTATTATTCGGTTAGTAGTTATTAATGAAACGTCATTGTGCCGAAATGCAAAACAATTTGCTAAGAGAAATTGCGAAGTGACGAGATAGAAATGATGAAAAGTCTGATCGTCTGATTCTATATTAACAATAAGAATCCGTATGATGAACAGCTGGTCTGTTGTTGTTTCTTGTTTCACTTGCCCATACTAGCAAGCCTGCATGGTGACACCAAGCGAATTAAGGGCAGAGGGTGCTTTTCTTGTTTTTCAGTTACGCCATCTATGACTAAGATTTACGACTTCACCCACGCACGCATCGCAGCCCGTTTGTAAGGCGGATCCATTCATACATTAACAAATCGTAATTTTGACCTGAACCAGAGAAAAATCAATCTCCAGTTCAGTACCCCCAGAGGTATGATTTGTTAATTAAACATGGAGGACTTTGTGATCCGACATATATAACGTGCACCAGTCACCATTATCTACACGGATATTATTCGGTTAGCAGTGATTGAACTCACGACTTCTTGGACTTTGGCCCAACGCCCTACTAACCTGGCTATCCCGGTCTGGTCGTAACATTTCAAATTTTGATCCTCTAAATATTTGAAAAACTTTTTATTTTAAAAAAGTCGATTTTGGGTTACGAACGTAAATTAGTGACAGTAAAGTTTTTTATGCACCGTTCTTTAAAAATTATAATTGCGAAAAAATATAATTCAAAAACATTTTACTACCTAACCAATTTCCAAAAGAAAAATTTTGGTTATAAATTAACAAACTAACCGTGGAACTGGTGGATAAAAATGTAAAAGTAACTTAAACTCGATTCTTTTTTATTTATTTGTTATATATTTAACTATTCAATCGTAACTACCTCTATATTTTACGAAAAGGAAAGGAAAAACGTTCATTTTTTCTGTACTGAAAAAATATCCTAAAAAAGTTTCTACTTTCAATCGCTATTAACCCTGTCGCGCCGACTCAGACTGTCATAAATACGTGCCAGCATAAAACCATATCAATCAGGGTAAAAAGATAAAACTGATAATCAAAGTAATTCTTTAACAGCTTATTTGTGGGCGGAGTTATAAATTTTTGATTTATTTAATTCACCATTACTTTGTTCAAAATTGAAGTATATTTAGTTATACTTTGAATCAACATTGATTATATGTATGATTAAACTAACAATAATTAAAGTAAAAGCAAAGTAAGTCTGTTAAATTAGCAACGACTATATTTAAGTTACCGTTTTTTATTTAATTACAACTTGATTCTGATTTTGCACGAATGCTTTTTCTTAATCACCCGTCTCCAAGGGGTTAATAATATTTTGAATTTTATTAATCACCGCGTTTGCCTTTTTTTGTCGCCCATGGCAATCCTGTTGCTACTATAAGCAAAATGTCCTGAATTACATTTAAGCCATTCGCATCATTTGAAGTACAAGCTCGTTATACATTCTTTTCAAATAAATAAAAAGTGCAGGTCACTATATTTTGCTATGAGTCTAAAATTATGCATTTTTTATTACCACATCTTATAAACGTTAATGTATTTAGTATAGGTACTAAATTATATTTGGAAACTAATCAACTAAAAAAATGCTATAATTTTTAATCAAAAAACTGCTACCTGTTTTAAATTTGGCTATCTCTTCTTTGTTTGGTATTTAAGTTAATTGATATCCAATGGGCTAATAAGTGCTAAAAGTTTGATAATGATTGTTGGCATACGTTATAAATTAAATCGGGCTTCATTAATAAATATAGTGGTAGCATAAAAGTGCCTATGTGAAATAAACGTGAAAACAATATTACAAACCAATTAAGAGTAATAGAATAAATAAAAAAAAATCCAAGTAAAATATAAAACGTTTTCATTTAAATCCTTTAGAGATTTATTTCTATCCTTAAATTAAATCATTTTTAAGAAGAAAAAAATTGTTGTGATGATATTTTAACTTTTTGTCTAATTTAAAATATATTTTTTCTGTTTTAATTTAGTTTAGCTTTGGTAGTTTCTGTTTTCTCACCATTACAATGATTTTTTCAAATTAATTCCATAAATGAATAAATTTCGCTCTGCAATTTTATATTAGTCTCGAACTTTCTACAAAATCCTTTGTTAAAGAAAAATAGTTCGGAAGAATTTAGAACTGAATATTTCAAAATTAAACAAAATTAAACAAAATTAAAATTAAAATCAATCATTTATAAGAAATTAAATTAAATCATTTGTAAGAAAAAACTGTGTTGTGAACTTCTGATGATATTTAAAATTTTTGTCTAAATTAATATATATTTGTTATGCTTTACGTTACTTTTGCTTTGTTGGTTTTTGTTTTCTCACAGTCACAGTGATTTTTCATATTAATTTCTTAAATGAATAAATTTCGCTCTGTAATTTTATATTAGTCTTGAACTTTCTTCAAAATCCTTTGTTAAAAATAAATAAGTTGGAAGAATTTAGAGCTGAATATTTTTAAAAAAATTTAATAAAATCAATTATTTATAAGAAATAAAATTAAATCATTTGTAAGAAAAATTTTTGTTTTGAACCTCTGATGATATTCAACAATCCTTTGTTAAAAAAAATAATTCGGAAGAATTTAGAACTAAATATTTTAAAAATAAAGTTTTTAAAGATTAATTAATCTTCACCAAACCTTTAAAATTTCTTAAAATTTATAACGGAAGGCATCAATTTGTTTTAATAGTAAACAAATACATAGTAAACTCTTTCCTGCTTAGTTATTTCAATAACAAAAAATAAATATTAAAAATCGAAATGATATGTAATGGTAAGCTTTAAGTCATACAATTTTACTTTTGGTGTTTAAAACTTTTGTACATTTTTTAATAAATAAAATTGTTAATATTTAGCATAAATCATACATAAAAAGAAAGCAAATAACGAGAAATAGGTACTTAAAGGAATTGAAAGAACTTACATTTCACCCATCTTTTTATAAATCAACCGAGAAGTATAGATATACATACTTCCACTTATAGAATTGCTTTAATATCTACACATTTCAGTATAGCTAAAGTTTAGAGAATCCTTATTCACCTACTTAAATATTTCCTTCCTGAAAACTTTATTATATGTCGTCAACTTTAAACTATTCTTTTGAATGTCCAGTGGCTTTTTAGTTCCTTATGAGAGGTTTCTTAGGTAAGCTTAGCATCCTAATTAAATTTCAACACTAGGATAACAATTGTAAACACTGACCTTGAAGGACTCTGATGCGACAGAGGAAAAAAAATTAAAGGAAAGCATTCTCGCTCGTGGATACAAATATTTATATATGATAGACCAAAAAATATATTTACAAGGTTAGTTCGATCTAATTCGCGCATAGTTAAATATTAAGCGGGATTTGTAATCACCTGAAAAATTTCTGCGGTTGTATATTAAGATAAAAATAGCATTTTGCTGTGTTTGCAACTCTCAAAATACATTAATAAATGAAAGCAACAATCTGCGCATACTTAGACTCGTTTTTTTAAAATTATTTTATTCTAAAGTGCACGTTTATGTAATACTATTTTATTTTATGACCATCGTTGAACAGTCAACCCAAGTCTGAGTTTACGACTACCAATATTTAACTCCGTAGCCTTATAATTTTAAACCCGATCCAGAAGACAAAAGAACTCCTGGGTCAAGTATTGGGAGAAATTTGCCTTCGTGGAGGTTCTTTTGATGGAACTAACCCAAATTTGCGTTACATAAATAGGGAAACCAGGGAAACCTCTCACGGTTAGCCTGACGTCAAGGGGACTCTAACTCCTGATGCGTCTATCACCGGGGATATTTTACGCAAGCACTGTGGTCGATGCGAATTTCTTGCGGAATTCGCATCGACTAGTCATCGCTGGGATTCGAACACGGGTCACCTCATTGGAAGGCGAGCTCTCTATCTCTGAGCCACCCTGACTCGAAATTGAAAGGAAATATTTTCATATGTTAAAACTGGTTAACTTAAAATTCTTACATTCAACCTTCAAAAACCATTCAAATTTCCAACAGCCTCGTTAGATAATTGTCACAACTCTTTAAGTTTCTTCTGGTTATAGCCACTCTGCTAGAAGTAAAAAATTATTGTGTGAATTAAAAAGTATTCGTTTTACCTAATACTTAATTTTTTTAGCTGTCCTATGTTTCGATTCGTTCGTTGTAGTGGAACTGGGCGTCTGAGGCCTTACGGCCCTTTTACCATTCATCCTGAAATTAAACTTAGAAACATACATGACAAAATTAAAGTTTGGGGAGCAAATGGAGTTCTTGAGAAAAGAAAAATGGGATGGCACTTTGCCATTATTAGGCAATGACAAAATTATAAGTAATAAAAATGTACATGAATCCTATGTTTGGACTTTAGATCGAAAAATACATAAGAATTTAATTAAATAATATATGCTGGTAGACAGATTTATCTTAGTTTTGAAAAATAATTCCGACTATTGAAATAATTGTGCTACTACATACCTGCCAACTTTTAATCCCTTCCATTATCATTTTTCCCAGAGGTATTAAAATGGAATTAAAACTTCAATTTTAAACAAACAAATACGTTGTATATGAGCAAACTTAAGTTGACAACCATGATAGTAACGCATATTAATATATGTGCTTAATTTTTGTAAGAATAGTGGTAATCAAAATCATTTAAAAATTAAGTTTATAAAAGAAAAAATAGTATATAATTACTACCACTTTAAATATGAAAATAAAATCTTCCGGAAAATCCGGAAGAGTTAACAAGTATGCGGTCCTATGTTTCAACTTTAGATCGAAAAATAGATAAGAATTTAATTAAATAATATATGCTGGTAGACAGATTTATCTTAGTTTTGAAAAATAATTCCGACTATTGAAATAATTGTGCTACTACTATTTTTCTTTTTTACAAAAATCATTTCGTTTTGAATCTTATTAGGCTAACTCACATTAAATAATATTTACAAAACTGAGAATAAAATAGTAACCTTATGTAACACAGAAACAAATTTCTCAATAAAGCGCCGAGGATACCATTTAAATATATAAATAAATAACTTAATCAAGTGTTTTTAAAGTTATAAGATTGTTAAACTCATTCTTTTGCCTTAAACAAAACTACTTATGTATATATATATATATATATATAATAACAGGGCTCCAACCCTGTTATCAGTGTTGTATTTAGCTTGAAATAATTGCAGTCNGCCACCAAAATTCATTACCATTATTAAGGGACAAATATCGTAATTCTTTACCAGTTTGTTTCGCTCTGCAGCAACTGCTAAATTGTAAACTCAGGCTGCTATTTAATTGGGGGGGGGGGAAATGAAAAATTTAAAGTAAAATATTTCAGTTCTACCTTTTTTTCGAAAGAGGTTAACTATGTGACTGCCGCTATATAGTAACAGAGGCATGTGAAATTTTACAAATGTTGTAAATAATTATAAATGGTATTCCAGGGTTGCCATTTTCAAGAAAAATTTATAAACTGGTAGAAAAATATCGAGGAAGCAAAATGCTTTAACTTCCAACTAAAAATATTCGTAAATTCAGTACCCATGTTACAACAGACCAACTGAATTTTTGAAATCAACGTGAAATTTTAAAATGCAAAAATTACATGATAACTCATGAAACAGTTATCACTTTTAAAATTTCTCGAGGCTGTAACAACCTCTTACTAACCTTTACTATGTACTTGCGTTGTAAAAAATTAAAGAATTAATTTTTTTATACATTTTTTTTAATTTTTCTGAATAAGTATTAATTCAGCAGACGTCATAGATTTAATGAAATTAATTAATAAAATTAATTTGATACTTTCTTTCAGCTACTTTAAATTTTGTTCAACTCATTAGATCATCGTTCAAACAATAGAAACTTGAAGGAAAAAAATAAGGAGCTAATAAACAATAGTATTGTAACCTGCTGTCATTTATTAACACAAGGTTTACGGACGGGTCATTTTGACGCATTTCGAATTTTATAAGGAAAATTACAAAACCCGTTCGCATCTCCTATAATGACTTTTATCCATTGATCGAGGTAAATATATATTGAAGTCTATTTTCTTCAAAAGCGTTGAAATATTGAAATTCTCTTTGTGGTATATTTATCTCTACGGGTATGCGTCAATTTGACGCGATCGAAATTTAGACAAAATTTTGAGTAAACATGCAAACATCACATCAATAATAAATAGAAATGTACCCACTTCGATCCGTTATCTCAAATGAAACAAGCGATAAACATCTGTTTCCGATAAGCAATAATGGAAAGAACAAATGTCAATTGATGTCAGAGTGTCAGATTTTGCAGGTTTCAGTTGCTTAGTTCAAGTATTGAAAAATAAAATACTAGAATTTTTTATAAATATATATCTCATATTTTTTTTCCTTATAGTTTATAATTGCATCGCTTTCTAAATGCAGAGATGCCAACTGCTCCGGACCAACGCCTCCTATAACTGAAAGCATCCGCACAGTTTTTTGTAGGTAGTCCAATCAGACCACTATGAAGGTAAACCAAGTAGTGAAAGAACCATTTGATATGATATCTATTAAAAATTAGAAAGTGGTAGCAAATATATGTCTAAAAATTTTTTTAATTTATGAAAATTGGTTTGATTTGTTTACTTGTCAACCATTACAGATTCAATTCTCAAATATATATGATAAATTTCTCTCAAGTACTTTTAAAATAGAATTTGGATTCATGCGCACAAGTGGTTCGCTTTTTAAATGATCTGAGCAGACTACTTATAAGAAACCGTGTGGAGGCTTTCTGATGTGGGAGGTGGTGTCCGGACAAGCCAAAATAAGTAAAAAGAACGGTAAATAACTACCAAGTAAATTTTGCAAACATAAAGTGGTGAGTCATATAAACCTACGAATTATCTAGAAATAGTGGTGGATAAAAATCTACTAAATTGAATTTATTAAACCAGGAATCACAATTGATAAACCACCACTTTAAAATATGTATTTGCTGTCCGGAGCAAGTTGGCATCTCTGTAAGTACTGTTATATGTATTCGTTAATGCGTCAAATTGACGCGTGTTCGTAGTGATAGGTATATAAGAAACGTCCGCAAAACCTAGTGTTAATGTTTATTTTGAATAGGCAAAATATTTGCATTCACCATCACCATAACATATTTCTCATGAAAATTTAATTTGTTTATGAAATAATGCTTTACAAAAACTAATTAGACTTCTAAAAAAAATATATGCTTTAAAAGAAACTAGTGATGATTAAGCTAACAGAAAATATTTTCTTAGTTTAAATACAGTATACTCTTGATATCTCGAAAACCTTGTTATGTCAAAAAAATACTTTTCCCCTTAGCATTACATATTCATCGAATATTAATTTGAATTCCTATGTTGAAGTGTTTCAAAATCGAAGTGTTCAGTGCCTATGTTATCAAAAAACCTTGCTTTCTTTCGAATACTTTTCGAAGTAAAAAATAAACTTTTTCGGAAAAAAATCACCATGTAAAACCAAACATAATGACGTGGCAGCAGGGACATTGTGTCCCTGCTGCCCACATATTAAAACATTTCACGAAAAGCTCCGAGAACGTGGAAAGCGATTACTTATTGGCAGCTATTTTTCAAACAGAAAATTTGATTGATGAGCAATTTCGGCCACGATGGTAGTTTTTTTTAATTTTTTGTATTAAACTTTATTAATGTGAATTGATTGTAGACGAATTCATTTATATTTAGAGCACAATTATTTTTGTGTTGCTTTTAAATATAAAACTATCATTGCTGCATTTAGACTTATTGTCAACTATTATACAAATATCTTTATTAGGACTAATTCTGATGTTCCATGACTTTACGCTTTAGAATACTGTATAAGAATTTTTTTTCTTCTTTTTTTAGAACATATTTGGTTCTGAACTTGTTAACTCGAAAACTCGCGATTTCGAAACTTTTTTAGCGTCCATTCAACTTTGAAATATCGAGAGTATACTGTAAATAAACTAATTTACTTAGTTTAACTATAATAATTGTCATTTTGAAATAGGTGCTTTTTTGCATCAAGCTGTATAAAAATGCGTGCATCAATAAATCAATTTATTAAAATGCGTAATTGCTGAAAATATCTTGGAAAACTTAAAAGAAACGGGATGGTTGAAGTTCCAGAAAAATTTAAAAGCTGATAGAAAAAAATCAAGGAAATGAAAAGTTTTAACTATCGAATTGCTGTGGATCAAAAATATTTATAAATTAAACATCTGTGCTGCAGTCAATGAACTGAAATCAATAAATTGACGTTTTTTAACTAAAAGTTTTAAACTACAACAGCGGTTCCCAATTTTTTTTCAACCCGACGGTACTATAAATAATCAACTCTCTTTCGGATGAATTCCGAGCAAAAGATTATAACCTATGAAAAAAATTATTTTTAAAATATTCAATTAGAGGAGTAAGAACTTTTCATCGTTTTAGCATTAATAATCCCGACAGTTAAATTCGCAGTGCTTGCTCTAGTTTAGTAATGAATTTTTTTTAGTATATATATCATAAGAATTTAATTAAATNAAAGATAAAATGAGTTAAATTTTCTTACTTTAGCAACCAAAATTTAATAAATGATTGTCCTTCTCATTATTTGTTCGATATATTTTCATTAGAAATATTATATTTTCTTCTAAAAAATACAGATTCCATATCATTTGCATTTTACTTGAAATAATTGTAGGAAAGCAATCGAAAGAATAAATAAATTACGTAGTATAGCTTACATCTAAATGCAATAAGTGGTTTGAAAACTCATCACTTTTTATAAAAAGTACTACCAAGGAGCCCTAGGGTTCAACGGAATACCATTTGGGAACCGCTGCCTTACATATATATATTTTAACGTCAGTGACTTTTTCTTTTGAAAACAAAGAAATCATAAAAAAATGTAAGGCAGCGGTAGCATATATATATAAAAACAAGTAAGCACCGATAATGCTGCTAATTCTTTTATTTTTTCCAAGAAAATAATTTACAGAAGTTCGAGTAGTAAAAGTAGTTCATTTGCGTCGCACTAGAGCTGCACAATGGGCTATTGGCGACGGTCTGTTAAACATCCCTGAGGATGATCCGAAGACATATCATCACAATTTTGATCCTCTGCAGAGGGGATGGCACCCCCGCTTCGGTAGCCCGACGACCTGCACGCGAAGTCGAGCACTTTACGGTAGAACAGTTTAACGAGGACCAATACCGCACACCCTCGGTCCCTACGCAGACTGATCCAAGTCGTCACCCACTCGCACACTGACCGCAGCCAGTAATGCTTGACTTCGGTGATCTGCTGGGTCCCGTGTCTTGACACTGAGGGACTAAAGGAGTTCGAAGCCATTCTTACAACTCCCGTTATTTTCTAATCAAATTTAAAAGACTAGGATTAGATTTTTTAAAACCTTTCCACTAAAACGAAAGAATTTTGGATATAGGCATAGATATCTCTATCAGGGTGAGTAGCAAAATTTTTCAATAAAAAATAAGCACTCAAAAAATGTTTTAAGCACTTTAAGAAATATATCAGAATAAGGATATGCGCACTAATTAAAAAATTTTCTTCCCATTGTTGAAAGTTCTTCATATATACGTATATATTTACAAAATGAAAAATAATTTTCAAAGAACTTACATGAGCATGATAAAATAACTAGTTTCTGACAAAGAACTCTTTTCTTGATTATATTAGTCATCATAAAAACAATTTATGCACACTTTTAAATACATTCAATATTGAGTGGCTCATTCTATTTCGTAAATTAATAATTAATTTACTTAATTATGTAAAAAAATTTAATTCAAATTTATAATTAATTTAACTAATATTTAAAAAGTTTATTAAGTGTATTTTTTAGATTTAAATAAAAGTTATTTATAAAAGCATATTCAACAATACATTAACAAGATTAATACCTCATACCGAACTATAGTTTAACGATGAAATTAACAAGAGAAATAAATTTTCTTGTGCTATTAGGGGAAAAAAATTGGCAATGTTTAGTTAGTCCCCGTAATCAGGAAAAATTCGAGAGATTTTTCGGTTCGATTTTAGTGGGCAAAAAATGAGGCCTGAAATTGAGAATATCTCGCAGAGTTGCACATGAGAGTACAAGAATTCTTCCCACTGAATCCAGTAAACACACATGCGGCTAAGGAAGTATTTCAACAAACATGAATAATGCTAGGCGGACCGACAGTATGCCTCAATGGTTCATTTTTGAATGGATTTTAAAAATGTTAAATATAACAAAGTGAAAAATCAAATTTTTTTGCTTAATTCGTAGCGAAAATCGACATGGTAAAGAAAAAAACATCTCATTTTGGAAAAGAGAAAATTAAGCTCTTTTTAAAGACACCTAATGAAAAAAGCACCTTTAAGGGATTTTAAAAAATGCTGCGCACCCTGTCTATATTTTGTTACAATGATACCCGCAACATCATAGCTATCATGTTTAAAACATAATCCTATGAAGCAGATGGAGCATTGGTGTTTCTTTTATGCGTATCTTTTTTCAGACACTCTAATTACAAATAAAATTACGTTTTAGTATTTTTTAATTATTAAAAAAAGTCAAGCAGTTACAAAAAAAATCTGCTAGATTATTGGAATTAGATTACTAAAATATAACATCCAAAAAGTAATTTGATTTTTTTTTCTTAGGTCTAAAAAACTGCAAATTTGAAAAATTACTGCTTGGAGTATTTTACCCTTAACACCGAAAAAGCGTGTTTAAACATTGTACTTCATAACCATAAATTATTAAAATTCTATATGAAATACTTCACTTATTTTGATTTAAACTAATGCAAAATAATAAAAAGAAAGTATGAGAAATGTATTTAATAAAAATTCTGTGTCAAAGACTTAAGGATATAACGATTCCAGTACAGATTTACAGAAATGCCAACTTGCCCCAGACAGCGGATAAATATTTTTGAGTGGGGTGGTCTTTAAATGCATTGTTGATTTCGTTAATTCCATTTATAGAGTATTTACCTCACTACTACTTCTAATAATTCATAGGCATATGTAGTACGCCACTTTGTTACAATTAAGACAAGTTGAGCCTTTTAAAAAGTTACAGGGATGCCATGGGTTACTAAAAATGTAAGAAGTGGTACAAATTAATTTTTTTTATTTGATCTGTGTAATTATTGAATCGTAACTACCACCATGACTTACATTGCAAATTATTTATATTTAAAACGAAACCATTCTTAACATTTGCTTTCAATAGTAAACTGAAAGAAATATGCTAGAAAACGTAGCCTATTTTAATTGCTTTTCACTCTTTACAAGTCACCACTTTTTATAATTTTAGTTGCCTGTGGCATCCCTAAATTTCGGAAAATCCACAGAAAATTTGTGCATTTTAGTTTCTAGTTTTCTACTGTTTTATAAAATATTATGCCGAATCAGGAGCAGTTGCTATCTCTGAAATAAATTGGGATTTTCTTTTTATAAATTAAATTTTAAATTAAGTTGTGGTAACATTGATTAGATTCTTTTCAAATAATTTTTAACGGTTAACTGACAAACTGCTCTGATATACCTCGCTCACCCTCACTTAATCCTAATGCATATCACTCTCCAATCCTAAAACTACTAATATCTGCTTTACAGGGTGAACCTTATGAACCAAAAAATATTCAAATGTTTTCTGAGGCTGTTGAAGAATTTAAAACGTTCACTGCGAGTCGAGTACAGATGGTTATACGTACAATATTTATTATTAAAGAGTGGATAAAAATCAAAGTTAAATTTTCTTACTTTAGCAACCACTTTAAACTGTACATGAAGTTGATTTTCACAAACAATATGCTAATTTTATGAGAAAACATTATTTCTTCAAAAATAGTTGGATGATAATATGTATCTTGCTATCATTTGTTTTGTTTTATTGATACACAAACTGTAGGAAAGAATTTCGATTCGAATCAAAAATTAAATAAATAATTCTGACTTAAATTTCAATCATAAATATAGATTGGTATAGTTTAATAACAAATGGATCAATGTTATTATTAATTTATAAAAAAAAAATACTTCGAATTTTTTTAAATTTTAATTTAATAAAAAACTGACCAATGATCAACTAAACAAATAAAAGAACATACACAATGTGGTATACATGCTTTAAAATAAAGTAAGCAAATGAAAAGATTCTTAACATTTATTCAAGACAAGTATAAAAGAAAAAAGCAAAATGAACAACAAAAAAACAAAAAGTAGCACTAAATTTGGTTGTTATTATACTCTAACAAACCCGTTTTAATCCATAAAAAACAATATAGCTATTTATGTAATAAATAGTAAAATAACAATATTTAGCTAAGATATCAATAATGCATTTATAATACATAAATAAGATAAACTCACACACAAACAGTATTTGTGCAACAAATACGATCATTGGATTTAAATTTTAACTCATTAAAAAATAATAAAAATAATTATAACAAATATGTAATTGAGAAACAATGTCAGGAGATTTACTTGTAAAAATAAGCTTACTAACAGGAAATATTTCTAAAACAACTGCCAAAACAAAATGCTTTTGAAAAAGTAAAATCAGTAGAAAATTTTAAAACACATTTGAATTTCACAAACCAGATCAAACAGCTATATACTAGAAGTAAACAATAAATACAATTCCAATGGCAACAACATAACAAATTCATAAAAGTGTTAAATAAATTAGTATATATTTCGTAAGTATACGGGTCAGAATATAAAAGGAATATCTCTTTATCGATTTTGTAACAATTCTGGTTGCAACCGCAGTACAGCCCCAGTAGGAGATTCAATTCTGAAAGGAAAAAAAAAGAAAGTATTAGGGCAATCAGTCTCAACATTCTGAGAAAAGTAACTAGTTTTATGTGATAATTATTTTATAAAAAAACAGTTTAACATCTCCTCTCCATTTCTAAAATGGACAGTGCCCATTGGCATGAAAAGTATTCTAATAATTCGAAATCGGGTACATGGATTTCGATCACCCTTTTATCTGCAGTAGGCAAATATTTCTGAATTGAATTTAAAGAAATTGCTACTTTCCTGCGAAGTTTAGTTTATGTGCAATATTAAAATACCAAAACCTATTGTTATAGATTAAATCTTCTCTCTTATCTTTTCAATGGTTTCTCTAAATCACATGGTTACACAAAGATACAAGTTGTTAAAATACATGGGGGAGGTGAATACAAAAAAGTGACAGGCAACAGATATCCATTTCAATTGAAAATTAAATGTAAAAAATATAATTCAATTATATTTTTTAAAATAAATACTTGGTTATGCTGTCTTTTAGTTCTTCATAAGCACTATTAATCTAAATTATTTTCTATTTATTTATTAGTTGCTTTAAAATATTATTTTAGGTCAATATATTTTTGCATGCTAAGAAATTTTATTACACTGAAAATTTGTTTTGTCTAGGCAAATAAAATTCATAAAAATAACTCGTCTACTCTTGCTTTTTTTTTTTTTTACAAAAGTGGTAGTGTTTGTTTTTGGTTGTATGTTTTCCAGAGTATTTGGGATACTAAGTTCAGCATTTTTCTGCAATTTTAAAACGGAAAAATGTATAGATTAAAAATATATATACATATAAATATTTTGCCGACATTAATAGTAAGTGATTCAGTGTCACATTGAATCAATAAATGACATGGTACTTAAAAATTTCGGAAAAATATTCAATATTTACATGATTTGAGCAAAACTATTAGAATGTCCTGGATGTCTTTATTTTGCTAAGATGATTTAAGATAAATTCCATTGTAAATAATTCTGCAATAAAATATGTTCTGTTACTGGAATAAAGAATCATTTTTATTTAGGTGAGAGTTTTATTAAACTGTGTACTGCTAGGTAAAACTAAAAAAAATTGATGTATTGATATTGTCAAGCAATATTGTTAATTAAATTTCAAGAAACTAGCGAAAGAAAATAGAGGCTCATTTACTATAATAAAATAGCTAAAATAACTAGTAAAAGAAAAAAAAAATTTTGGTTTAATCTAGTAGTTTCATTATTATGTACTCATTTATAACTCATTTGTTCTATTATAATTATAAAATTACTATTTACATTTTAGAATTTTATTATTATTTCTGCAAAAACACTTGCATTTATATATTTAAAAAAATATTTCTCGAATTATAAAAGTCTACATTTAACTGCAAATAGTATGTGATAATAACAAATGTAACATTTACGTAAATAACACAAATTACTTCTTAATTAAGAAGCAACGGTAGCAACATATATACACATACTTCAAATGTATGATTAAACCTTGGTGACTTTAAAACATTAAAGAAAGTCAAAAGTACACTAAGTTATCAAAAATTTAACTAGTAGAGTGGAACTTCAATCGATCGTTTCTCATGGGACTAATAAATTTGAACAACTGATACGGGGATATGAATATGGGTCAAAATAAAATAATAAATTTACAATAACTATACAAATTTTAATTGAAAAAAATTGTATTCTTACTTCAAAAATATTTACAATGTCAACGAAAGAAAAATAAAAAATTTATTTATTTAAAATATATACTAACATATGATTGCTGGAAAAAGAAATTACCTGAATTTTTTTTAATGTTTAGTTTTTTTCGTACTTAATTTCTTTTTCTTATTGTCTATAGATATATAAAATTTACAGAGAGACATTTTTATTTAATAATTTTTTTTCTCATCAACACATAAAAAATGTATATATTGGAAAAAAAAACATATTCCATCTTTTTTGCACTTTAAAAGTCATCATTGCAAAAAAAAAAAAAATTAATAAAACAAAAAACAGTAAAATCTACAGCAATAACTGAAAACATATTGATGATAAAATAGTTAATAAAACAATTAAAACACTGCATGGATTTACGATAGTACAGGCACAAATCAAGCGCATCAAAAAGTTATTACTGAAATGCGAGATTTAAATTTTGTGTGTCGTAATAATATTGTAATTTTAGAGACCATGAGAAAATCCATAATAACCATGAAATTATCATAGAATTGCATTCACTGCAAAAGAAAAAAAAAAGATAGAAACATAGATTTAAGATAGTATCGAGAGTGTTAAAATGGGTAATTCGAAATTCCTATGTCGTAATATCATATTAAAATTTAACTAGATCTAATAGTAGCCAAATGAAAATGGGCACAAATATATTACATTGAGTAAATAATTTTTCTGTAACAAATTGGAATTTGCAACGAAATTTTGATATTTATTAAGTTTAAAAAAAGATTAGCAATGTGTTTTTGCTTGCTTCTTTAGTCCATTAATTCTAGCTGAAGTTATTATGAATTTTTTTCTTCTTTCATTTACTATCCAAAGTTGCGTTTTTCTCTAACACAGCTGTGTAAAAAAAAAATTATCATGTGTGAATGAAAATTTAATAAAAGAAAAGGGGATACCGATGAAGGTGATATAAATGTTCTGGTAACGAAATTCTGCATAAGTAATAAAATTTAAATTAGCGGAATAATCATGTGTCTGCACATTGAATATTTGATTTGAACACACTCTTCTCCTCTCAATGCAAACAATAAATTTTAACATTTGTAACAGCTTGTTGTTATTTTTCTGTAAATTAGAGCAAGTAGAGAAAGTTTTGCATAATTTCAAAGGTTTTAAAAGGCGTTCTGCAAATGTTGGTCCTAGTTGTCATTATGTTTCATTGGTATAAGAATAGCAATACTTTTTTCAGTTTCGGCAATTTTTTTTAAACCAGCATTAGACTACAAGCTTCAACAGGTATTTTCATCAACTTGATGCATAAACAAGAAACTTGATGTTTGAGGTGTTTTCACCAAATTGTAAGAAATCTTAATTTTCATCTTCATTATTAGCATTAGGAATTACTGTTTTTCTTCTCATAGAATAATTTTTTTCAAATGTCAGTAAAATTTCTGAACAATAGTTGCCAGAATCTATTAATTTCAGAAAGGATTTAAAAAGAGATTAACATTATGAGAATCGTAGTTGTGACAATACTGGTAAAACAAAATATGCATACAGGAAAACAAAAAGTGAAGGAGCGATGGATTAAGATTCGACTACAGAAAATTTAATCAATCATAATTTTTTCTGAAGATAATAGGCTTGAAATACCATTAAAAATAATAAACAATAGATATTTCTTAATTCATTAATTGCTTATGACAATAAAAAAAATATGACTTGCAATTTAAATCTCTTGCTTGTTATTTTTCTCTTTTTTTTTCCAGAAATTTTAACAGAAATTTATTTGAAGATATTAGAGTAACTTTGTTTTAAGTTTGATTTTTTAAACAGAATTGCAAAAAAAGAAAATTAGCAGAAATTCAGAAGAGCTCCCTCCTAGTTTGAATGAACATAATTTCAGTACTATAAATACAATAAGCTTTTAAAAAGATTTTGTTATAAAGCTTTTATATACTTTTTTACTGACTTTATATACTTTTTTTTTACAACAGCAAAAAAAAGACTAAAATACGATTATTTATAAATTACTATAAAATTACATTGATTAAAATGAATAATATACCTTGTGACTAATTCATTTCCTATAATGTCATATACATGATATAAAATTCCTAATAAACATTTTCTAGGAAGCTTTCGCTGCACTAGCTCTGATTGCAAGATTTCTTTATATTTAGTTCTCCGTACATATTGTAATGTAGCTCTACGGCCATAAAGAAACGTTTTAACAAATTCCCCAACTCGTGGAATTGATAACCAATAGCTGCCTACATCTCTTGCACATAAAACACCTTGTTGAATAAGCTCCCTGAAATGTTACAATTAATTAGTAACAAAAAAAATTATCAAAAATTATACAAAGTTACAGCATAAATATTAGAGAAGAATAAATATTAGAAAAAAAACCTTAAATAAATACAATATAAAAAGTTAATCTCTATTCTTTTAATCAAGTTTTTTGTAGTAGTTCTAAAATTTATGTTCACAATGATGTATAACAATAAGCATGCATAAAGTATAATGTGAGAAGAATGCCATCTTTGAATAAAGTTTTGTATTTTGGGAAGTCTACAAGATATATTTGGGCAAATACGTACCAACAATTCAGTGTTTAATTGAACTCGTTAAATTACTGCAATTAGAAACATTTTACTAACATTTAAAAACACCTTGATACTAAAGATCTATTAGCAAAATAAGGATCCCCCACACAAAAATAATTCATTTTAAAAAGCTGCAGAATCACAAAAATGGATTTCTTTACATTTCAATTCAATGCTAAAAATAATTTTTTCCATGATATTTCATATTTTCAAAGACAAGAGCATAGTAATTTATTTCGGGATTTTGTATAGCATAGAAAATATTGTTGAAAAATAATTTTTAACCTATATAATACCTACAATAACTTAATTAGCTTTTTTGAAAATTACTTTTCTTTTAGTTGAATTTTTATTCCATATTTTTAACTTCACATGGAATATTTTTTTCCCTTAAAAATTTAAAGTGTACAAAAATTTTTCGCAAATGTATGATTTATTAACATTTTTTGTAATCCTAGACTACTCTCTGATTTTTATAAATCTATTTGTTCATTTATAATTTATTGATTTTTTTTATAAATCTATTTACTTGCCTGAATGATAAAAAAGCAGGAAATATTAAACAAGAAAAACTTACATTTAATATCAGTCAATTCAATAAACATAGTGATTAGTCAAAAAGAAAATTCAACAGTTGGAAAAATTAGAAACTAATATTTCCACAAAGCAGTGCATTAAAATATCTAATAAATTATACAAATTAAATAATTTGAAAAGAATTAAATTTAACACTTGTGAAAATAGCTATTAAATATCTAAACCAAACTTAAATAATAGTCTTTGAGGAAAATTATTCAAGAAGCACAAAACTCCGAATTATCTGAGAGAGATTTGTCTCATATCTTAAATATCATAGAATGGAAAGTAAATCTTCAAGAATGATAAGTTTTCAAATAAACAAAGATGCAAACTTTGGAGCAGTCCAAATGAACATAAGATAAGAATTGAAGGAGAACGAAAAAAATTATTTTAGGAGGAAAGAAAAAATTAATGGTAATTTGAAACCACAATCGAATCACAATTTAGTTGATTTGAAACCAGTCCATCATTTTGATCTGAAACTGTTGATAATAAAAATCATTTTAAAAAATTTGACCTCCTGTCGTCAGATCCTTTTATAATCCTGGCATGATCTTGCAATTGAAACAAAAGTTGGGCAAGAAGTTCTGTCCTCAGGATGAATCAAAGCCAATGATCCAAAAAAAAAAAAAACTGCCCATATCTGTATATAAAAACTATAGGCTCACAACAATTCGATCATTTTGTCATTTACTCTTAGAATTAGCTTAATTAATGCTGAAAATAAATTTTGAAAGATACCAAGTATCTGAAACTAACCAAGGTTACCAGACAATAAATTAGACCCGACTCAACTCGACTGATAATATTAATAGTGTATTTTTTAAAAAAATGGACATATATAGCATTTTAGATATACTTACGTTATATTTTCTTCTCTTAAGAAGTAATCCTTCAATAGGACATTTCTACTAAAACTAATATCTGGACAATCATATACAACATTCATAAAGTTGGCTAGAAATAAAAAAATCGCAAAATGTTATATGCAGGCTATTTTCTTCTTCTTAAAACAGACAAAACATAAGTAATGGTTAAAATTAAGAAATTACTAAAAAATTAAAGTACTGCAGACTATTGATAAATTAGATAGCATTAAAAAGCAGTTGCGACAGATAATATTAAGCAAATAATATTAAATCAAATATATACTAAGAAAGTAAAGTGTTATTTCAAAAAAAAGATAGTCAGAGTTATTTCACCATTGTGAAATGAAGAAGATATTTAGTATCCACAATTTACACCTGGATATGAATATGTTTTGTATAGGTAGGCAGTCTGATCAGATAGAACTTGATACAATCATGTCCCAAAAGTTCTGAATCCAATCTAGTGTGGTATAATATTTTACGGATCTAGCATAGGGTTCATTTTAAATATTGTACTAACTTTACATCATTGAGGAGGAACCTTCAGCCATAGCTCATCAAAGGAGCTCTAGCATGACATTAACTATAAAATCAAATCTTTATAGAACAAGTGCATATTCAAGAATGTTTTTAAAAAATGCTAATATTTGATCATGCTAAAAAAATTAGTTAAATTTAGCAAAAAAGATAACTTGGGAAAATAATATTAGAATTTCAGTCGCCAAAAACGAGTGGAAAAATTCTGTAATTTTTTTCTCTTAGCATTGGAGTTGGGCAATGAACTATCTTATTCATTACAATTTAGTTACAAATTAAATATTCAAATCTATATACAAATGAAATAGTAAATTCACTTGCGTGATTTAACAATCTCAAATTGAGATTCCTATTCACATAATTTAAAGAAATAAATAAAATTACACATCAATATTTTTAAAACGCTCATAACATTCTCTAGATAAACTTTTTTCTTTCACAAATTTCAGGTACTTTTTTAATTATTTAAAGACTGCTTTTGCACATAACATTTTTGGATTTCTATTTTCAGCTTTTTTGGTTTTTTACCAAACTTATTCATATGGTATGAATCAATATACAGTTCCATAAAAGTTAAACATTTTTAAGAAAAATCAGTGATTTTCAAATAAATTTCAGCAAAATAAGATGGGGTCAAAAGGAGTGAAGCTAGTTACAAGAGTTAATAAATGCTTGCAGTAAGTTTTTTAATTGAGATTTTGAGTTTGCAGGAAGTTTTTCATTTTACCTAACTCTGGATATGATAATGACTGATTTTTAAAGTGTGACAAAATTTTTTAGGCTAATCAGTATTCATAATTATAATACAGTAGAGCGCCGATTATCCGAACCCTTATTATCCGAACTATGTCTGAATTAGTTTTTTTTTCTTTTTTAAAAGTTTAGAATACTTTTTAAAATCTTGACAATTTTTCTAAATTAATTAGAATAAATAATGTCCCCTACATTCGAAGACCATATTTAATTTACAACCTTTTTAGCAGTTTTCTTATAGCAGCCATACATACATGTAAGGTGATACAGTTAAACCTACCTACCCCTTTACAACTGAAAATTATCTTCCAAGAATGCGAGCTTCATTTTGATAGTCTACAATGGTTGGAATGCAGAAGGAGTTTATGAATAGATAAGTGCTGAAGCTTTATAATTGGGGAATGGGTAGTTGTCACTTATGTTTAATGATTAGTGATTACAGTGCTTGGAATAATAAATCTTGGAATAAAATTCTTAACAGAAAAACTGAAGTTTCTGAACCAGTAGATCTTTCGGAAGATAATGATGAAATTGATGATTTTTAATGAAAATCGAAACTCCACAGACGAAGATGAAGAAGTAAGTGATCAAGTTCAAGATAGAAGCATGCAATTCATTAGATATTGCAATGAATTGGCTAGAACGTCAAAATGATGAATAAGGGATATATGGCTGCTAAAAAAAATGCATCTTCTTTGAAACGAAATCTTTGCTGTATTTCTTTTTCAATGGAAAATAATGAAAAATGTGGTAAAATCAGTAATTGACAAAAAAAATTATAAAAAACTGAAATATGATAAAAATAATTCAAAATGAAAAAAAGTTTTAAAAAAAGTTAATTAAAAATATTTAAAAATTGAAGAAAAAAAAACTTTTAGGTAGGTCAAAGCTATTTTAGATAGTACTACCAGTCCTAAGCCTACAAAAGGAATGAAGGGAAGTTAGTGCATAAATAATAATCATGTACACTAGATTTTAAACAGTTTTCCAATTATCCGAACTTTTCATTATCCGAACCATGTTCGGTCCCGAGCAGTTCGGATAATCGGCGCTCTACTGTATAATTGGTTTTGAGAAGGAGTTATATAATCTCTTATTAATCTTAATAA